AGAAATGAGAAAAAATTCCTAACATGTTTCCCTCCCACTGTCCTTTCTTCATGCTAAAGGTCACAATTTTGCTTTATGATAGATTGCATTATAGAGTGCTGGAGCTAAAAGAGACTCTTTCAGTAATCTAGACTCATGTTCTTATTTAATACAGAAAAAGAAACTGAGGCCCAGAGAATTTAAATGACTTGCCCAAGGATACAAAGCTAAAAATAATGGGATAGAAGCTGGAAAATATAGAGGAGTTTTCTCTGTTAATTGTTTTCTTGTAGTTGTTAGTTCAAATAGGTTAGCCCGATAAGAGATTAATTCAGGTAAACCAGCTAAAAATACTTGTACGTGTTTCTCAATATAACGAGGATGGGGGGTGGAAATCACAGGAATGAAGGCATAGGAATAAAAAGAAAAATGGCCCACAGAACAAGTGAGACACAGCCTATGTGCTTTGGTTTTTAAGCCTCCGGGCCAAAATCACACTTACGATCTTGGTAACCAAAAAGAATCTTGTTCCTGGAATGCTTGTAGAGACCTGAATTAGTCATAAGCTTCTTAGAAAAGAATTTATCCTTTGTTTGATATTGCAATGATTCTTGATCAGAAAGGCAAGCAAGCCTCTTTCTTGTTAGAGGCCTAGTCAGACTCCAGTTGCTGGTGTAACAAATCCCTGGGAAACCTTTGACTAAAGAACCATGTATTTGAATGATTTTAGTATGGATTAGGTGATTTCATGAGGTCTCTCCCTGTTCTATCATTCTTTCCCTATTGGTGCCCGCAAAACAAACTTCATATGCTTGTTTCAAGGAATTTGACTAGCTAGCAATGATAGGCTTTCTAATTATAGACCTATTCAACTGGGGAAATAACTATAGAATGTTTATTTCAGAGTATTGCTAGAATCATTATTCCAAAAGGTTTAAATGAGAAGGACTCAAATGCCCATATCCAGGACAAACAACTCAAATGAAGTCATTAGGCTTTGGACCAAACATTTGTACCATTTGATAACTTAAGTGATAAGTCTAGGTTCTGGTTTTCCTTGTACTCAATTCCTTCCCCAACTCCCGACAGGTAAATCTGTTACTGCCTGTAGCCAAAGGATAAAAATTCCTTTCTAATCTACTTTCATAGGTAGGAGATGGACCAAAAGTTCTATTTGGTCCTTAATTGAAGTTTTCCATTTTACTAAAAGATAAGAAAGAAGCACCCTACCTTTATTTCTGAAGTCTCTAGGAACAACTTTAGCTTTTTATTATATTAAAATACAGCATTCAAAATAATATCTGGCATCTTCTTGACATTCCAGAGGCATACTTGAAATAAATGATGCCAACTGTAGCTAAAAATGGTGAAGGAAATTACAGAAGTATTTGACTATCATCCAAAAGATTCCAACAGAGGAAAATTTCCCTCCACCCACAAGCATCTTCAGGCTTCATACCAAAGAATGCTAAAGATTTTAACTGGCTGGCAGAATACATAGCAGGTGGCAAAATATTTTTGACGTGGTAGCTGAACAGTTTCCTTCTTTCTTTCTTTCTTTCTTTCTTTCTTTCTTTTTTTCTCTCTCTCTCTCTCTCTCTCATACTTGACTATATTATAAGCAAAGATAGTAATTAGAAAACAAAAAAATCAGGAATAATTTATATATGATAGAATCCAGTCCATTTGAAAACAACAAATTTCTTAAATCTTTCATAGCAAATAGAAACTCTTCCATCGTCAAACATTTGATTCTCTGGTAACCCCTTGTGCCTTCCTGCCCCGTTGAAATACATGAACAACCCTTTATGCATATTCTTATGAATCAACATGAAATTTGACAACACTTTCCCTTCCTCATTTCAGATAGGACTCATTGCTCTTGGTGTAATCCCCATGGACTGGAGTACTTTAGAGTACTAGAGGACTTCAAAGTAAGGAAACAAAAGAAGCACCTTTAATTCAAGCTGGTTTACCCAGAGAACTCTAATAGTTATTATTCACTGGCTTCTTAAGTACAGCATTATAAAGCTGACTGTTTGAAGTGTCCTCTCTTCGTCTTTCCCCAGGGAAACTGCTGTAGAAAAGCTGGAGAGGTAACCTGCCTGATAAGTCTTAGACTTGAAGTTTATCAGCAGTTCTACTAAAACCATCCATTCTCTCTAGGATGCTATTGGATTTTAGCTTTGGGAGCATTTTATTTTTCTTCCAAGATTTTGGATCATCTTCCCTCCAGATCCTTCTGACTTTGTATACAAAAAGTAATAGATCTGAGCTATTTCTTAAAAGTCTTTCTAATTTAAAACTTGACCCTTTCTCTGCTGAGGGATAACCATCACCCCACCTCCCAGTCTCTCAGAAACGGCTGCAGAGCACAATTCACTTCAGAAATCTTAAGTCAACTAGAAAACCTGTGGTCTTTCAAACAATATTTAAATAAGAAGGAAAAAAGAATATGGCACTCTAAGTAAAATTCTACTTACCCTTACTTGAAAATAGGAAAAAGTAAATAAAAAGCTGAGGCCCCTTTACTTTTCCAAATCTTACAAACATCTAGTCCCAAGAGAAACTGTTTCTTGGTTTAGAAGATGAGAAGAGTTAAAGTTAAACAATGATCTTTTTTCCATTAAAAAAAAAAAAAAAAAAAGGCCAGCAGAGGTAAATGTTCTGTTGGACAAATTATTTCAGCAGATGTTCATTGTCCCAGGGAGAAAACAGTCTCTATTTTACAGCTTAGCACTTGCAAATTTAGAAACTTAAATATTTTTAACTTGAAATGGTCCATGTGGCATGAGTGGGATGTAAATATTAAAATCATTTATATAAGTAAGTGGTTACTTTCTAACATGAACATCTACAGAATACTGAGGACTGTTGCTAGGTCAAGATATAATGATGCAACGACTATTGCCCATCTGTGCTTTTCAAGCTTCTGTAAGTTGTTATTCCCATTTACAATGGCACCTGGGAAGAATATTAACATTTATATAACATTTATATCATGTACCAGGCACTCATAATTATCGTGTAGGGTAAAAATACTAGTAGCGTGCCTATTTTAAAATGTGTAAACTAAGGCTCGCTAAGATTATGTAACTTAGGTAAGTCATAAGAAGTGGTGGCTCTAGCATGCAAATGTAGGCAGTCTGACTCTGGAACAGGGGTCATCAAACCTTTTCTCTAAAGGGCCAGGTAATAAATAAATATTTTAGGCTTTCCAAGCCATAAAGGCCATTGCAACAATTCAGCTCTGTCTTTGCAGAACAAAAGCAGCCTAAGACAATATGTAAATGGGCAAGAGTGGTTTGTTCCCCCCAAAATTTTATTTGTAATCACTGAAATTTGAATTTCATATAATTTTCATGAGTCACAAAGTATTATCCTGCTTTTAATTTTTATCAACTGTTTAAAAGTGTTAAAACAGTTCTTACCCCATGGGCAGTACAAAAACACATAGCAGGCTGGATTTGGCCCACAGATTAGTTTGTCAACCCCTGCTCAAGGCTCTTACTGATTATACTATTTTTTTAATTGTGTCTTTTTATAATTTTTTTAACAGCTAATGGAACTGCATTTACATTCTAGCATTATCAAATTATGGCAGACCTATAAAAGTGTCAATTTCATATGTTTCAACATAACATTTATAACTGTCTATTGCTGTCAGAAGTAACACTTATTAGCATTATGAAAGTATAGGCTAGTGACTAGGGGAATATTATATAAACAATCATCAGATGGGTAGCACACTAGACGATCTTTAAAATTCCTTTAGAATCTTTTCTATGAAATGAACTAGGACAGTCTAGGACTGACTGAAGTGATCAAGAAAGGGGAACACTTACTGTTATGTAATTGCTCTGTGACAAGTACTAAACTGTGTTATCTCATTTGGTTTCCATAATGACACTGTGAGATCAGTATTTTTACTCAATTCACAGTTGAGGCAGTCTAGGTTCTTGGAGACTAAGTAACTTGCCTGCATCAGACCACTGATAGATGGCAAAGCCTGTCCTTGAACAAAGAAGAAAAGACTCCTCTTTGTTTTGCTCACACAACAAAGGCAATTTCACTGCCATCTGTCAGTACCACTAAGACTTTTAAGATAAAATTCAGTTTTTTCCTCAAGTTCATTGCTAGAAAACCAGTTATAAGCCATAGTATTAGAATTTCTCTCATTTTTTAGTAAACTCCAGAAAATACACTTACATAATTTAAAAACACTTTTTGTAGCCACATCTATATTGTTTCTTCAGAATTTCTTACACAACTAACTCCTTAGTTGGGTAAGATCTCAATTTATATTTAAATGAAAGAGAAGAGGAAGGAGAAATCACAGCTTTTGATAAACATAATTTTTTAAAGATTTATTTGTTTATTAGAGAGAGACAGAGAGCATGAGCAGGCGGAGGGGCAGAGGGAGAGAGAGAGAATCCTCAAGCAGACTTCCCTCTGAGCTCTGGGGGGACCTGAGGAACCCGGAATCATGACCTGAGCCAAAATCAAAAGTCAGACACTTAAAGGACTGAGGCACCCAGTCACCTGAGTAAATATCTTAATAAGTTAAATGATTACTTAAAAACTGATAGGTTTACAAAGTCTGAGAATTTTATTTTAAGATTTTATTTATTTATTTGACAGAGAGAGACACAGCCAGAGAGGAAACACTAGCTGCTGGAGTGGGAGAGGGAGAAGCAGGCTTCCCGCTGAGCAGGGAGCCTGATTTGGTGTTCGATCCCAGGACCCTGGGACCATGACCTGAGCCGAAGGCAGATGCTTAACGACTGAGCCACCCAGGTGCCCCCAAATTCTGAGAATTTTAGAGCATCAAATCCTTTTTTTCACATTTTCACATATTAGTATAACTTTTTAAGTCCTGCATATCCTAAGAAAATTTTGCACACACTAAGAAAACAAGCATTAGGGAGGGAAAGAAACTATAAAGTAAAATCAAAAGAAATACTGAGATCAGAATATTAACAATGTATTATATTGCTTCATTTATGCTTCTCATTCCCTAGCTAAAGAAGAAACCAATAATTTCATCAATGACCACTGAGGAATAAGCTATAAAACAGGTAAGAAATTCTAAAGGATTCACCAGAAGAAAAAAATTATTCCAAGTCACATTTATACTGGAAAGGTACATTACTGCTCTTTTTCTTTTCTCCTGTTTTTCTTTTTCTTTTCTTTTCTTTCCTTTAACCATTTTTCTTGGCATAGCAAATAAAATAAACTTCAAGTGTGACTGACCTCTCCTCTCACAATTTTCCATCTGTATTTTTATGTCTTTTCCCCCTAAATGCCAGATTGACTGTTCTCATTAACATTATTTCAACTCATCAAATATTCTATTTTCCTTCATTCAAAATTTACTTCAAAGTCAATGTTCTGTGGAATGTACACCAAGCAAGTTAAAAATAGAGAGATTTGCCAGAAAGCGAAGTTCAGAAATTAATGAAAAGGTTCTTGGCAGTTTCCAAGAAACAGGGTTTACATGCAAAAAAAAAAAAAAAAGTATGAACGTTCACAACCATTTATGATGCACCAGATTCTGCTGCTGTTTTTCTGTTTTTTAATATAGAACAGACCAAGATCAAAGATGGTTGAAGGAAAAGGGATTTGAGATCTTCGGATCTACTGTAACATAAGTACAAAAGTAGGGTTGGTATCGTATTCACTACTGAATTTCCAACATAAAACTGTTTCTGGAACAAGATAGGTACTGAGTAAATATCTATAGAATGAATGGATGTTTGTTGAAGAGTGACTTTGGACACAAAATCAGGAACACAGCAAGTAAACAGAAGATATTGTCTTGCCTTAATGAATCCTTCCTTATCCATGAGTAGAAGCAATGAGGGAAATACTCTACAAGCACTGATCAGTAATGTGGATAGAACATGGGCTTAACAATAATGTGACCATTGTCATTTTGGTACTGGTCATAAGTAAGGAAAAGAAAAGTGGACAATCCAGTCGGATCATGATTCCTACGCTTTACACAGGCAGAGTTCAGAAAGTTCAATTAAAAATTAAGTGTCATCCTATAGGCCAATATGATAAATAAAATGAAAAGGCACATGGGATTTCAGGACATTCTGAAAACAAAAATTCTAACCTGTAATCATGCATTTAGCTACAATAAGGTAGGTGAGACCTGTAAAGCAGGGCTTCTCAATCTCAGCATTATTGACATTTGGAATCCCATACTTCTTTGCTGTAGGGAGTGTCCTGTGCATTTTAGGATGTTTAGCAGCATCCTTGTCCTCTATCCACTAGATCCTGAGTACCTTACCCCCTTTGTTGCAGTGACCAAAAAATATCTTCAGACACTGCCAAATTGAGAACTGCTCAAAAGGAAGGAAAAGAGAGGCAGCAGTCTCAGGTTTTAGAAATATTTCTAAGCAAAAAAAGAAACTTGTAAGAGTTGTTCAAAATCATATCATTACAGTTGAGAAGTTAAAAATCTCAGTTTTAACAAAAACTTTAAGGACAAAAGAAAGGAATATTCCTAGTGCCTTATGAGAAGAAGGTAAAATTTGGTGCTGATTATGTATAAACAATAGGACAATTAAAATTACTAAAATATTTTGCATGTGTCTTCTTCATTCTGAAAACAATTTTCTAATATTATAAAGAGACCATTTTTAGGTAAGAAGAGAATAAGAAAGCACTTTACTACTTTATGTATTATTCTGAATTCATGAAGTTAGGCAAATTTCATATCAAGTGTATGGGAAAATTAGTAATCAAAAGCACAATGTGTTTAGGAATTCTTGAAATGATGTTTAACAGTAGTACCATGAAATAAATAATCCCAGTTTTCAAAAAATATAAAAAAAAGTAGTGTTTTTTTTTTAAAGATTTTATTTATTTATTTGACAGAGACACAGCAAGAGAGGGAACACAAGCGGGGGAGCGGGAGAGGGAGAAGCAGGCTTCCCGCGGAGCAGGGAGCCCGATGAGGGGCTCGATGCGGGGCTCGATCCCAGGACTCTGGGATCATGACCTGAGCTGAAGGCAGACACTTAACGACTGAGCCAACCAGGCGCCCCAAAAAGTAGTGTTAAAGAAATTGATAAGCTGATTAATAAAGATCCCTGAAATATTTCTAGAATGAAAGAAATGTTAAGTGCCTGCAGTAGAAGAAATGACTGCCAAAAACTTTGAGTTAATTATAAATGAGATATGTCAAATTAATCTCATACTTGACCAGGTTTCTTGAATTGTACATCAGGGTAATGCTAGAAATACAGTGTATCATGACTGTCATGAAGTGTGTCAAATAGTCTTAGGCTGTATATATTCTTGTGGACAAACTAGAAGAGCATGGCTGGTTGCTAATACCATTTATTTCCCCTACACCGTCAGCTAGCCATTCTCCCCACCTTCACACCTTCATCCAAAGCTTTTGGGAATCTCTAGGAGTCCAAACAATAAAGTTTCAAGGCCATTAGATTCACTAGTCAATAAATGCCCTTAAATGCCTATCATTTTGTGGTATTTCAGTCACTGATCTATAAACTACCATTGAATTCAGTGTCTTCTCAATTTAAGGTTGAATAAAATTTTATAGACTGATTCCTATCCCAGCCTAGATAAACATTATTTTTTTGCAAAACTCTTAATCCACAGAGAAGTAATCAACATCAGTTAATATTTGCTTAATTTTAAATACCATTCAGAAATAAAGTCAAGATTTTTTGTTATACTGTCAAATGTTTTCTTCACAGTTACTTTATTAATATCACAATCACTCTGTTATACTGACAAATGGTGTGCTAAATGTGGGAAGAAATCTGCCTATAAGATACTGTATCAGTCTGACTTTTGCTCCACTCCACCCATCCCACATAATCACCTGTCATCTTGCATCAATAATTGCAAAAAAAGACTGAGCAAAAACTTTACCAGTACAGATTTTTTTAAGCACCATGGCACCAGTAATATCAAAAGTATATTTTCAGGGCACAGAGCACTATTTGACAAGGCAAAGAAAGGAATGTAAACTAGAACAGAATTGTTTAATTACATCTTACCTGAAAACAAATGCAGTTCCAACAAAAAATGGTAATAAATCACACCAAGTATACATAACTGCAAACTATGCATTTATTTAAAGGGCTGCTTCAATTTCATTACCATATAAATTAAAAAACAGAGTGTAATGAAAATTTGTGATAGCTGATAATACAGTGACTATTTTAGTTAATTAAAAAAAATGTATAGGAATTCAAGAAAGGAGACTCCATTTTGGCAAGTTAAAAATAAATGGATGGATTGCATTTTATTTAACGATCACTTCATCGATATTATTCCACATAATAATTTCATTACCAGAGTTTGTTTGTGGAAAACCCAAATCATATTATCAGGTAAAGGCATGGTGCAATGATTTCTTTCCAGCATCAACTAGGGTTCATTTTACACAGGTCATATTTATACTCAGGTGTCTTCAAACTCTGAACAAATGGAAACTTACTTAATGAGACAACAGATATTTGATCTGACTTGTATCCATTTTGATGATCTTCCTTGTAAAGGAAATATATTCCCAGGAAACACAGAACCATGGGAGAGATGAAAGAAAGGATTAATAACAGCGCTCAACTTTGCAAATTTGCCAATCAACTTGTTTTCAACGTATAGTTCCACATGAACTCTGAGGTTTTAAGTGTAAGCTCATGGGATGGCAGATTCAACCTAACTCTATGAAAGTATGAATGGGAGGATGATTTGACCCAAGAAACAGGACTCCCAGAGTCCTTTTCCAGCACTTGTCCCACATTATTACCCACTGTGAGCACTATATTGGTGAGCCTGGGAGCAAGTGACTTTGAATCAAGAAATGTGATCTTCCTTGCTGAGGAAGAAGGGTGACTTTTTTGTTTGTAGCAAGCCTATTAGTAGTAGTATTAAGTACAAAGACTCTGATTTTATCTTCATCTTTAGGACAAAATTATGAAGAAAATAGCCAACAGAAAGGGATAATGAAAATATATGTGGTTTTAAGAGACAAGTAACCACGTTATGAATAAAATCAACAAGTCTTCCTTTTAAGTTAACAAATATAAAACCCATTTCTCAGTTGGAACAAGTCAATAAGATTTGAAATCTTTTCTCCAAACAGAAATAATGATATTCGCTGCCATAGCAATGATTTTAATACTTCAACCCTAAACACACTCACAACTTCTTGGTTTACATGGATTTACTACTCTGAAATCAAGAAGAAACCAACTTGAGAGCCAGTCTCACAGCTGTCTATTATTACCTCTACCTTTTTTTTCTCAGAAACTTCAGCTGGAAGAAAATCAACTTAGCATGATTTTACATGAAACTATCCCAAGTATCAAAAATCATCATTTTAGATCCACTCATTCACTCAACATAAAAGCATTTAAATGATTTAGGAAAAGTGAAGCATTAGGAAGAAGGTAGCACTTTCAAATCCAAATCTTACCTGGTCAATTGAAATGGAACAACACCCCTGAAAGCCTTCTTGATTTGTGCTCCTCTCCTCAAGGGACAACTAAATCACGGCAGCCTATATTCTTAAACTCTCAAAGAAAAATCAGGAAGCTTGATCTGTGCACATAATGGCCTGCATAATGTAAGAAAGCACCGTTTCTTGGCAACTAGAAAACAATCCTTTTCAATTAACTCACAGCAATTGGCCCACATTTGTTGTTAAACAGAGAGTAAAGAAAATGTTTTAAGAACTCAAAAGAACTTGGTAATAGCTCCACTAAGAAAGTCGGATCAGTTTGTTCATTTTGAAAAGCATTTTTAATTAATTGACTGCCCATTCCAATTGCCTTACTCTTTCCTAAGACCTTTCATTGACATACCTGTCTCACTTCCTTGTTGCATATTATTTACTTAAAACCCCAATCCTGAATAGTTGCATCTGCTATTGCAGTGAAAACCGGAAAGATAGTTCTAGCAAAGCAGTGGCATGTAATGTTATCCTGCTCTTGTTCATCTTGTATACCATATTTACTTTCTAAAGTAAAGAAAGTAAAGTTTTCTTCTCTGCCAGCTTCAGTGTAGTCCCGGATGTTCATTAGGATACATAATTCAAAGCAGTTGTATGTTATATTCTCTTAGCTGTTAAAGACCACCTCCAGCAGGCATAAATTTTAGGTGATATATAAGAAGTGCAGCTGGGCTAGATTGATTTTGTGCTACAGTAACTGTTTTGAAGGGGCTCATATATACTTATGAGAATTTGGACAATCTTCTTAGGGCACTGTGCATTCTATGTATTGGGAATTTCATGTATCAGAAGGAATCCATATATGGGACCCCTATGTAAGAATGTCTGTTCAGAAAAGCAAGTGCTTAAGTGGCTCAGTTGATTAAGCGTCCAACTCTTGATTTCCACCCAGGTTATGATCTCAGGGTCTTGAGATTGAGCCCCGTGTTGGGCTCCGCACTGGGCATGGATCTGCTTAAGATTCTCTTTCCCTTGCTCTCTGCCCCTCCCCTCCTAAAAAAAAGGCAAGTGGTGAGGAAAATACAAGTTATACACGGATAATTTTTGCTGTTAAACTTTACCATTACAAATAGCAAAGGTTTAACTATCTGTATGATTCTATTTCCCAAATGAGAAGATAGCTAAAGATGGATAATTTCCATATCCAACCAAAGCCAAATTGCTTGAATTTTGTCTTTATCCCTCCCCTTCACTTTGCTGGGATTGACCAAGGGTATATATTATAGTGTTTAACTTCAACAGCTCTTTTATTTTCTTTTTTCTCCTTTTATCATCCAAATCTTTCTAAAAGGTGTCTACCTTATCTTGCTATCATTAACAGGCAATTCTTTTTAGGTATTATTTTTAAACTATATCCTTTGGGAAGCATTATCTTTGCATAAAGCACCTTTCTGTTGGTGGGAATTTGAGGCAGTGTTGTATACTGTTGAAGGTGATGTATTTAGGCAGAACTTCTGGCACCTTCAAATCATACTCTTGACAGCTGTGTTCACTTTCTATGGATAGAATGGGCTGGGATAATTTTACAAGTGTTTCTTCAGCTTTAGTACTAACTCTTCCCCTTGCTCGCTCTATGACCTTTGGCAGATTTGTTAAACATTTTGTGTCTCAGTTCTCTTTTCTGTCAAATGAATTTAATAACATTTACATAGTAGAATTGTTGAGAGGATTGACCAAGATTACATATGTAAAGCTTCTTAAAACAGGGGCCAGAAGATGGTAAGTGCTCAAACGTTAGTTATGTTATTAACATCCTTGTTATTAGTATTCATGAACTAAATAATTTCCAAGGTCTTTTTCAAAGTTAGGAATTCAAAAATCCTATATAATTCTTATGTAAAAATCTGAAGTAATGTAAAAAAAGGTTCTTGAGGCATTTAATATAAAATTATTTTTTCCCTTTTTAATAGATCAATCCTCATTTACTATCTAATATTTAGAACTGTTGTATGCCCTTTCACTAATAAAACACACATTTATTTAAAAAGTGAGATGTTTCTTTACCTTTATGAAAAATGCACTCACATTAAATACATT